AAGTTTACGCGATAACTGCCTACTGCTGAGTGAGCCAACGTCGGCGCAAGCACTTATACAAGTCTTTCATCTATGTGCATTCGGCTCCGCATGACTGCACATGGCGGGCAACGTTATTTTCACCTCTCTGAGCGCGTGCTTAGGTTCCTTTTTAGTGAGCGCTTGGTTTCATTAGTCAAATATAATAGGGTATTATGGCGTAGGTATTCCCGATTTTGTATGATAGTGATGTATCTGTTACGTAGTAACCTGTGCCGATAACCTTAAATATGAGTTGTTAAGTCCCATGTGCCTGTAATTTCACCAGCACTCTTGCCCTTCAAAATCGGAACGCAGTAATGGTGGCAGAAATAGATAAGGTGGTCGAACTTTTTCGCAAGAAGAACTACAGCTTTTAAAATATATGTAGTTGTTTGATGAACATCAGCTCTTTTTCAGTTATTAAAGTCATTTCAGTCTAAGAATAAAATTTATTTTTGCTTGTCAAATCTGCTTGAAATTTTATTTACTATGAAATTATAATAATAAAGTAAGTATTACAATAACATGATAATCTTGACCTGATGCTGCAACCAGGATAGTCTGCACTTTACACAATTCCTCGACCATTTACAATGGAACTATCGTGTGTGGGTTCATTGATCTTTATTAACTTTTTGGAGTTATTTTATCTTCCTTTTAGATGATAGGACATTGGTGTATTGACACTCAATTTAATTTATCTAAACTAAGCTAATTAAATCTTGCGACAAATTTATCTAAAAAAGTACTAAATTAAATTTCTGATTCTTTCAGTGAGTGAAAATGGCGTGGCATATCTTGTTGCTAGCGCTATGCATGGCGGGGGGCTGTGTGGCGGTGAGCAACGAGTCCTACCTGCTGCCCGCAGACGTGCGCCCGCGCCATTACGACCTCCGGCTTCTCTACGATGCCGACCCGACTACCAACTTCAGCTTTTATGGCATTGTCGATATTACTGTGAGTACATTACACAGACATGCATTACAATTTTAAAAATATTTGTTTGAAAAGGAACACAACGCTGAAACTTTCAGCAGACAAGTAGTTTAGTAGCAGTAGAAGCTCCTTGTGAAAGAGTTCGTCCAGGATAGTACTGCCACCTTACCTATTTCTGCCGCCAAGCAGTAATGTCAGCGTTACTGTGTTCCGGTTTTGAAGGGTAAGTAAGGGTGCTGGTGAAATTACAGGCACACGGGACTTGTCATCTTATGACTTAGGGTGAAGGGCGCAGTGGCGATGCCCTTCAGATCTTTGCGATTTAAAGCTCTGAGTGGCACTGCAACTTGTTATGGACAGGCGTGCACGCGACTTGTTCGTTCCATCACTTAATATTATATAAAAAAAGACAAAATCCTTACAAATAAATAAGTATATATGTTTATTTAAATCTGTACTATTTTTGTAACTAATTTGTTTTACATTGACAAGCTGCATTTATCAAAACTACTTTAATTTCTAGTGATAACAAACAAATTAACTAGATGGCGTTTATTGTACAGATTTTTATGGATATTGCCGGCTATTCTTTTATTTTGTTTAAGATCAATATGTAAATAACATTACAAGGAAAAAAACGAACTTCTTATATTTCATATTAAAGAACAATGTTTATGGAAATAAAGAGCTATTCAACAATTACACATATTGACTACTCATAACAGCTAGATACATAAAAAAAAGAAAGTTGGCGCCTAGGGCAGCGTGCCCAGAAGGCTAGCAACATTTGCCCTTTGAATTGCTAAACTTACTCTTTGGCGGAAATAGCTGCCAGCATTGTGGTCATAGGAGGCTTCTATGAGCCGATCCGACAGCTCGTTCGCAGGGACCCAGGGTGTCAACCGCAAAAGGCACAAAGCTCTAGCCCTGGGCAAGGTTGGCGTATTTGAGCCTTTTGTTCTCAGCCGCTCTGGCCACAGAGCCTGCGCCGCCCACGCTTGCAAGGACATTGGAGGGGGCTACAGTGCCTCCCTAGTTTCCATAGACCGACAGTCATACCGTCAAGCCTTTTACCATCACTGCGACAGATGCCAGTGGGCTCGAGAACTGCCGGTATCTTATCTCTAAGGCACGTACGATGATGCTATTGAGCGCTGCGTGTCGGGATATGCGGCCAGCGCTATTAAACATAAATTAATTTATATCCACAGCCGTTTATATAATTTAAACAGGCTATTGATTAGCGCCATCTAGGTATAATAGACGGAATTTCGACATTTTTTACAGTTACAATCTGTAGTATAGAAATTAACAATCCTCTTGAGTTTGGTTCATGATATTACTGACCCCAAAACAAAAAAACAATAAACGATGAATTATAAATATGAGTCGTCGATTATGTCCGGGAGCTAGTAGCACTTTTGATAATGGAGAAAGCCAAATTACGTTATTTGCCAATGGCAATAATATGTCTCTTAACATTCTTGGGCCTATGTCAATGTTTAAGGAAAACCTCACGTATCTGTGACTGAACTTACAAGTACTTGGTTAACATTCGCTTCGCGAACTTAGTATAAGTGGGCTGTTTGTCCTGTCACTGACCTTGCGTTCATGGACGTGTTTAAGGCTCCTACCCACTTGCAACAATCGTGTGTATAAAGGTGGCAACTGACCGAAAATCTTATTGCAACGTTACATTCGCGGCGAGCATGTTATGTTACGTTTCGAACTCAGCGCATGGCCGTGCATTTGTGATATTACTCAATTATGGTTTCCCAAAGCGGTCCCTACCATCCCCCAGTGGGCGCTGAAGAGTCCTAGGGGTAAGGGCATTGGAAGCAATTGGGGGGCGTTGATGCTGTCCAGGGGGTGCTACCGCATTTGAAAACCTAAATTATCTATGTATATAAACTACATTACAAATATTAATTGTCCTTGTGATTTTTTGTGTTAATATAAAATAGATGGGCTCGGATGGAGGAGCTCGGTAGCACTGGTGTCGGCTGTTCAGTTGATGGTTGTTTTGTTAATAACATAAGTTATGCAGACGATATGGTGCTGTTGAGCCCCTCAATCAGCGCTCTTAAAGTACTTCTCAATGTATGTGAAAGGTATGCCGAGGCCCATGGGCTCAGATACAATGTTAAAAAGAGTGAGCTGTTGGTGTTCAAATCAGGTTCCAAAACCTATTCGACGCCACCAGTCACTCTAAACGGAACTGAACTGGAAAAAGTGACCAAGTTCTAGTATCTGGGTCACTGGGTCACGGAAAATTTATCGGATGACGTTGACATGGAGAGGGAACGCAGGGCACTGGCGGTACGGTGTAACATGCTGGCCCGTAGGTTTGCACGATGCTCTCATGAGGTGAAAATCACCCTCTTTAAAACTTTTTGTCAGACACTATACACGTGCAACCTGTGGATCAATTACACCAAAAAAGCCTACAATGCCCTGCGAGTCCAATTCAACAATGCCCTAAGGGGACTGATGGGGTTGCCTCGATACTGTAGTGCCTCTGGGATGTTCACGGAGGCTAGAATCGACGGTTTCCAGGCCATCATTCGGAAAAGAGTGGCTTCCCTGCTGGCCAGAGTGAGGGGCAGTACCAACAGTCTTCTTAGAGTGATAGCAGAGAGGATGGACAGCCCAATCCTTAAACATTGGATGTCCATTCATGTAAACGAAAATGAAAATTTTGCATTCTACTAACATAGTTATTTAAGTTCCTACTAACATTATATGGACATGTAGTCTGAAATAAATTCTTTCATTTCATTCATTTCAAAACGTACGTGTTTTCAATTACTTGTTGTTGTGGTGGACGTTGAAATTGTTTTATATTCCCTAAGAGCAGTGAGCTAAAAAGTTTGAGAAACAATGGTTTACTCCAAATGAAGAAAAGAAAACAAAAGCCGAAACAACACTGACGGTGTACCGTCTAAATCACGACAACGTTCCAAAGCTCCTAAGGGATTCGTCAAAAAAGCGACAACCGAGTGGAGTACGCGGCGATTGCGGCGATAATTTCGACTCGCTATACTAACCTTGCTCACCTGGTGATAAGCGACACGCCTGTCCATAATAGTTGCAATGCCACTCAGAGCTTTAACTCACAAAGATCTTAGGGTCACTGCCATTGTGCCCGTCACACTGAGCCATAAGTTGACATGTCCTATGAACCTGTAATTCCATCAGTTCAATTTTACAATGCTCTCATCGTAATGTGTTACGTTACGCCGAAATGATCCGGTCAGTCGCCACCTTAAATAAATATTCGGCAATGTTCGAGTGGTGCTTGCAGTCAGCGTTGAAATGGCCTGAAAACTAAAACACAAACTACACTCTTGTTAAAAATCAACCTTATGTACAATAAGGTTAAGATTGCAAACTGAGAACAATTGAAGAATGAACTTTCGTCAATGCACGTAACTGATGGCCTAGATTTTTTAAATTTATCTGTCACTTTCGAACTCTATTCATAACTTATTTTTTTTACAATAAAATATACAAGAAATACTTATTAAAGTATTTGTCATTGAACTACAAAGTGTGAAATCGTTTGGAAGTTAAAGGTTATTGTTTTTAAGATGATATATTATCTTCTTATCTTATATATATATATATATATATATTATCTTAAGTTCTTATTGAATGTTTCACCACAATGATACTCAAATATTTTTTGTGAAATTACTCCACTAGTTTGTTATAATTCTTAATAAGAACACTTAGAATAAATTTCTTCGATCCGGCCGGATTCGAACCAACGTTTTCTAAGCAAAACCGTGCCCGACGCTATGCCAACTAAGGGTGAGGCCAGATGAGCGTAATTTTGTGAGTTGGGAGTTGCGTTTTTTGAGTTGCGCAGTTTGCGCTCGACCGAAATTCGGTTGGAGCGCCAGACGAACGTATTTTATTCAGTTGCTTTTAAACGTTTATACGGGGTGTTTGTGTCGTAATAGTGTAATGGATCCATTAACAATAGTATGCATTTATGAAGCATTATAAGAAGATGTTAGAAAAAGAAGCTGGGCACATCCACTCAATATGAAACGCACGAACACTTTAGCCACGGAACGAACCAGCGGACCTCACGAATTTTTCTATGTGCTTCTTGTCGGATCTTTGTTTTTTAGTTTTTTATATATTATGTTTTTATAATGGCATTTTAGACATAGACCATGAGAAATTGTTTTAATTGGTGAAATTAATTTCTAGCAGGTCTATTAAGTATTATTTTAATGTTCATATAATCACTTGCGTTTACTGTAATTAAAGGAAAATATTGTAAAAAAAAACATGCACGTTTAAAGACATGATGCAAGTTGATTAGGTCAGGGTTGGTAGCTGGTCTACCGACGGATGCAATACGATTCTTGGACCTTGGTGTCGTATAAAAATTCGCCAAGTAATAATAATAACTACTACGCACTAGGGAAACCATGTATGACCACGCCCATAGACAACCACAAATTACACCCAAACTCACGAGAGAAATAAATGTAGGCCATACAAATATTTCTCCCGGCCCGGGAATCGAACCTGGGACATCTGCGTGGCAGTCCGGCATGGTAACCGTTCGGCCACGGAAGCAGTTAGAATGTTAATGAATGTTTAGTTACTAGATCAATATCTCTTGCTGACGGTGATAGAAAATGTATTAATGAAACCTGGATATCGTAGAAAGTTCTATATCTACTCGAAAAATATGTGATATATATGCATTGCTACGTTCTGGTTTTGAAGGGTAAGGGTGCTGGTGAAATTACAGGTACATAGGTCAACATTTGTCTCAGGATGACGGACGCACTTTCGGTTCAGATCTTTGCGGTTTAAAGTCAAGGTCAAATAATCATTTCTTCCGTAGGTAAAATTTTTACAATTGAAAACATCATTTTTTAAGCTACAGCTCGTTCACTACGCTGACCTACCTGAGAAGAACGAACAAGAAACTGTAGGGATTGCTCTTTTCAAATAAACTTAAATGCTATGGAATAAATACCTTTTGAATCATATTT